TTAAGGGGATTAAGGGGCACAGAAAAAGGTAAATGAGAAATCAAATTGCTTTATCTACATTTCATCTTTTGCTCTGGTTGAGAGATCTTATTTAAAGGTCAATGATTTGATTTTGGGGGGAATATTGTTTGTGAACATTTAAAAAAATCTTTTTTTAGAGAGACAGAGTGAGCCCAAGCGCAAGTGGCAGGGGTGGGGGAGAGAGCAAAAGGAGAAGGAGGGAGAGAATCTCAAAACAGTTTCCACACCCAGCACAGAGTCAGCTGCAGGGCTCAGTCTCATGGCCCTGAGCTCACGACGTGAGCCAAAATCAAGAGTCGGATGCTTAACCAAATGAGCCACCCAGGAACCCCTGTTTGTGAACGTTTAGAATATGACTATTAAAGACTCTTTCATCATGTTAAGAGGTTTAAATGGGCAAAACAAACTTTCATCTGAAGAGCTAGAACACAAAACTCCCCTTTATTATTCCTGGTGACAAATTTATCTTTGACCTCATCTCTCCCCTTCATTCTCTATTCTCTCCCCCTCATCTCTATATCCCCTTCATTCTCTACTCATTAAGTCCTTTATTTTCCTTTAAAATATCTCCTGTATCTGTCCTTTCCATTTTATTCTCATTGTGACCAACTATTGCTCATGTTGTTATCATGTCATCTTGAAATACTACAACCAACCTTTTGTTGGACTATTGGTCTTAAAAAAAAAACAGTCTGAAGTTATACAAAATTCAAACATTATGGGGATATAGTTTATCAAGTGCCTTTTTCAACAATGATTAAGATAATGGATTTTCACTCTTTAAACTATTAAAACAGTAGATTATATTTCAATTTTTAAAAATCTTATTAGAATCTTTTAATATAATTTTATGCTAATATAATATTAATATACTATTATTTGACTATATTTATAAATGATATTAATTTGTAATTTCTTTTCTTGTATTATTTTTGTTAGGTTTTGATATCAGAGTTATGCTAATTTAAAAATGAATTTGTATTCTTTATAACTTTTTGGATATATGGACTATAATTTAGCCCATATAAGTATTTGATTATATTTATTAAGGACTATACTCCTTAATTTAAAAAACACTGGAAATAAATTAGGAAACTTACTGTCTTTTTTTCCTCTGCTCTGAAAAAGCTTACAAAAACACAGGAATTATCTCCTGAGGTTTTTAATTCTATGAAAGTTTTGATATAATTTTCTCTAAAACCATTGACTGATCATGGACTGTTTTGGAATGGGGTTATATTTTGAATGACTTCTCTTCAATAGTTATTATCCTATTTAGGTTTTCTATCTCCTTTTGAGTCAATTTTGATAGTTGGTTTCCTGGGGAAGTGGCAGTAGCTTTTAGGGGATTCTTTTATACTTAAGAATAAAAAAGGCCACATCAATAAGAGAAAGGATAAAAACCTATGATCATTTCAATAGATGCAGAAAAAGCATTTAACAAAGTACAACATCCATTTATGATAAAAACCCTCAACAAAGTAGGTTTAGGGGGAACATACCTCAACATAATAAAGTCTATATGAAAAACCCACATCATACTCATTGGGGAAAAACCATTCAGGGAGAGCTTTTCCCCTGAAGTCAGGAATAAGCCAAGGATGTCCAATCTCACCACTTTTTTTTTTTAAAGATTTTATTCATTTATTTGACAGAGAGAGACACAGCGAGAGAGGGGACACAAGCAGGGGGAGTGGGAGACGGAGAAGCAGGCTTCCCGTGGAGCAGGGAGCCTGATGTGGGGCTCAATCCCAGGACCCTGGGATCATGACCTGAGCCGAAGGCAGATGCTTAACGACTGAGCCACCCAGCCGCCCCTCACCGCTTTTTAAAAAAAGATTTTTTATTTATTCATTTGAGAGAGAGCAAGCAAGAGCACGAGCAAGGGGAAAGTTCAGAGGGAGAGAGAGAAGCAGACTCCCAGCTGAGCAGGGTGCACAACTTGGGGTTCAATCCCAGGACCCCAGGATCATGATCTGAGCAGAAGGCAGACCCTTAACTGACTGAGTCACCCAGGTGCTCCCACTTTTATTCACCACTTTTATTCAACATAGTACTGGAAGTCCTAGCCATAGCAATCAGTCAACAGAAAGGAATAAAAGGCATCCAAATTGGTAAAGAAGAAGTAAAACATCACTCTTTGCAGATTACATGATACTTATTATATATAGAAAACCATAAAGACTCCACCAAAGAACTATTAGAACTGATAAATGAATTCAGTAAGGTCACAGGATACAAAATCAATGTATAGAAATGTTTTATTTCTATATACTAATAATGAAGGAGCAGAAAGGGAAATTAAGAAAACAATCCCATTTACAATTACACCAAAAATAGTAACATACCTAGAAAATAAACTTAATCAAAGAGGTGAAAGACCTGTACTCTGAAAACTATAAAACATTTATGAAAGAAATTAAAGATGACACAACCAAATGGAAAGATATTTCATGCTCATGGATTGGAAGAAAAAGTATTGTTAAAATGTCCCTAGTAGCCAAAACAGAATTAATGCAATCTCTATCAAAATACCAACAGCACTTTTCACAGAACTAGAACAAGCAATCCTAAAATTTGTATGGAACCACGAAAGATCCCCAATAGCCAAGTAATCTTTTTTTAAAATTTTTTATTGTTATGTTAATTACATACATTACATCATTAGTTTTTGATGTAGTATTCCATGATTCATTGTTTGTGCATAACACCCTGTGCTCCATGCACAACGTGCCCTCTTTAATACCCATCACCAGGCTAACCCATCCCCCCACCCCTCTCCCCTCTAGAACCCTCAGTTTGTTTTTCAGAGTCCGTCGTCTCTCATGGTTCATCTCCCCCTCTGACTTACTCCCCTTCATTCTTCCCCTCCTGCTATCTTCTTCTTTTTTTTTTTCTTAACATATATTGCATTATTTGTTTCAGAAGTACAGATCTGTGATTCAACAGTCTTGCACAATTCACAGCACTCACCATAGCACATACCCTCCCCAATGTCTATCACCCAGCCACCCCACCCCTCCCACCCCCCACCACTCCAGCAACCCTCAGTTTGTTTCCTGAGATTAAGAATTCCTCATATCAGTGAGGTCATATGATATATGTCTTTCTCTGATTGACTTATTTCACTCAGCATAACACCCTCCAGTTCCATCCACGTTGTTGCAAATTAGCCAAAGTAATCTTGCAAAAGAAAAACAAAACTGGAAGCATCACAATTCCAGACTCCAAGTTATATTACAAAGCTGTGGTAATCAAAGCAGTATGGTACTAGCACAAAAACAACAAACATCAATGAAAGAGAATAGGAAACCCAGAAATAAACTCACATTATATAGTCAATCTTTGACAAAGCAGGAAATAATATGCAATGGGAAAAAGACAATCTCTTCAACAAATGATGTTGGGAAAACTGGACAGCTACATGCAAAAGAATTTCCTTTCTTACACCATACACAAAAATAAACTCAAAATGGATTAAGGACCTAAATGTGAGACCTAAAACCATAAAAATCTTGGAAGAGAGCATAGGCAGTAATTTCTCTGACGTTGGCCCTAGGAACATTTTATAGATATGCCTCCAGAGGCAAAGGAAATAAAAGGAAAAATAAACTATTGGGACTGTATCAAAATAAAAACCTTCTGCATAGCAAACAAAGCAACCAACAAAAATAAAAGACAACCTACTGAATGGGAGAAGATACTTACAAATGACATATCCAATAAAGGATTAGAATACAAATTATATAAAGAAATTATACAATTCAACACTCAAAAAACAAATAATCCAATTAAGAAATGGGCAGGAAACATGAACAGACATTTCTCCAAAGAAGACATACAAATGGCTAGCAAACACCTGAAAAGATGCTTGACATCACTCATCATCAGGGAAATGCAAGTCAAAATCACAATGAGATATCACCTCACACCAGTCAGAATGGTTAAAATAAACACAAGAAACAACCAGTATTGGCAAGGATGTGGAGATAAAGGAACCCTTGTGCACTGTTGGTGGGAATGCAAACTGGTGCAGCCACTGTGGAAGACAGTATGGAGGTTTCTTAAAAAATTAAAAATAGAACTACCCATGATCCAGGAATTGCACTCCTGGGTCTTTACCCCCAAAATATAAAAACTCTAATTGAAAGGGATACATGCACTCCTATGTTTATTGCAGCATTATTTACAATAGCCAGGTTATGGAAGCAGCCTAAGTATTTATTGATAGATGAATGGATATGCTTGATCTTAGCCAAAAGGCTGAGAAGCGATTGATAGATGAAGAGGTGGTATGTATACATATATGTGTGTGTGTGTGTGTGTGTGTGTGTGTGTGTGTGTGTGTGTGTGTATAATGGAATATCATAAAAAGGGACAACATCTTGTCATTTGCAACAACAAGGATGGATCTACAGGGTATAATGCTAAGCAAAATAAGCCAGTCGGAAAAAGACAAATACTATATGATTTCACTCATATGTGGAATTTAAGAAACAAAACAAACAGGGGCGTGTGGGTGGCTCAGTTGTTAAGCCTCTGCCTTTGGCTCAGGTCATGATTCCAGGGTCCTGGGATCGAGCCCCGCATCGGGCTCCCTGCTCAGTGGGAAGCCTGCTTCTCCCTCTCCCACTGCCCCTGCTTGTGATCCCTCTCTCACTATCTCTCTCTCTCTGTCAAATAAATAAATATCTTAAAAAAAAGAAACAAAACAAACAAAAGAAAAAAGAAAAAAAGAAACAAACCAAAAAACATACTCTTAACTATAGAGAACAGATGATTTCCAGAGGAAAGGTGGGTGGGGGACGGATGAAATAGGTGAAGGGGCCTAAGAGTATACTTATCTTGATGAGCACTGAGTAATACATGGAATAGTTGAATCACTACATCATACACCTGAAATGAATATAATACTGTATGATAACTACATTGGGATTAAAAAAAAAAAAAGAACAACAAAAGCAAACACACACCCTTACCTGTAGTTTTCCCAGATTTTGGAGGTCCCAGAATTATAATCCTAATAGGCACAGTAGGCTTGGGTTTGGGTTGGCGGATATATTTGATTGGGTTCTTCATAAATTTTTCTTTAGTTTCCTTACTAGATAAAAAATAAATATACTGACGATGGATTACAGCATGGACTGGATTCTCTGAAGTTTCAATTGGTTTGATTGTCTCTCCTTCACTTAGCTGCAATATATACACAATTGAATTCATAGGTTTAAGTTATTCAGCATTTCCTCCAAATACATTTGAACAAATTTGTAAAATAAGAAAATCTTTCTTATAATATATAAGAAAACTAATTATAGCCAAATATTATTATTAAAGACTATGCAAAAAGAACTATTTTATACCCACATGCAATTGATGAAATCTTAACTAGCCTTCAGTTTATGACAATTATAGTTCTCCTACTTCATTTATAATGTATTTAGTGTATGTTTTTCCCAAGGAGTGTAAAGTTATTTGCATATATTCATATTTGCATATAAATATATTTGCATATATTATTGCATATATTTGCAATATATTCATATTAGTTATATGCAATATATATATGCATATATATTACATATATTCATATGCATTGCATATTGCATAAATGGGTCAATTTATCCTCACAAACAGGTCCATTCCTAAGATGGTGTTATGGATGGAAATGTGTTCCCCCCAATTCATAAGTTGAAGCCCTAACCCCCAAAGTGACTGTATTTGGAGATAGAGCCTTTAAGGAGGTAATTAAGGTTGAGATCATAAGAGTGGAGCCCTATCCGATAAGACTGGTGTCCTTATATGAAGAGGAAGAGACACCAGAAGTGCATAAGCACAGAGGAAGGGTCACGTGGGGACACAGTGAAAAGGTGATCATCTGCAAGCCAGGAAGAGAGGTCTCACCAGAAAACTATCCCTGCTGGCACCTAGATCTTGGATTTCCAGCCTTAGAACTGTGAGAAAATAAATTTCTGTTGTTTGAGCCACCACATCTGTGGTACTTTGTTATGGCAGCCTGAGTAAACTAATAGAGGTGGGGTCCTGGGTTATCTTTAGGGGCATACTGGTAGGACAAATTCCACAGGCGTCTCATCCACATTTTATATAGGCAAAATCCCACTCACATAGACATCAAGAGCAGTCGCAAAAGGGAAAAATACCTAAAAGCCTGCTTAAGGTATAGGTGTGGAATGGAGTGGGAGGAATGGTCCCACATATTTGCATTAGGTCAAGATGAGAACTGGGTAATTAATTGATGTTAGGTTTGGATATCTTTTTTTAGAGCATCAGATGGCCAAGAATCAGCCCATACTTGACAAAGTAGGTGTGAAGCAGTATGGTTCAATTTGCTCCTTTACCAGAGCTACACCTAGACAGTTGGCACAGGTCAATGGTATTGTCAACATCAACATTTTTGGGCTGGAGTAAATGCTAGGTATAAGAAGAACCTCAGGGGTGGCGTGGGAATGTCTGCTGTATGTCTTATATTTGGTAATAAAAAAAAAGCTGAAAGTCTAATGATTCCATTTCAAATTCCCAAATTGAGAGTCCTTACAGTAGTTTCTGCTATTGCTCAAAATACTTAGCATGTATCCTTTCTCCTCTGTAGGTCAGACTATGCATAGTGTCATTAAATCAGCAATATCAAACTGTCATGTACCCAGGGGCACCTGGGTGGCTCAGTTAGTTAAGGGGCTGCTTTCAGCTCAGGTCACGATCTCAGGGTCCTGGGATTGAGCCCCACATCGGGCTCCCCCCTGGCGGGGGGGGTCTGCTTCTCCCTCTCTCTACCCTCCCCACCGCTCATGCGTGCTCTCTCTCTCTCTCTCTCAGATAAATAAAATCTTTAAAAAAAAAACTGTCATGCACCCAGAAAGATTCCCAAATAGCCCTGAAAAATGCTTATTTAAATGCTTAAACCCTTCCTATGACCATGCACTCCTTTCTCCACAAGACGTTATTATATAGTACTAATTATGTTTGGACATGAGCCTTTTCTCCCTAAATAGGGTTCTGACTTTGTCTGCTTCTTCCCCTTTCTTTCTCATCTCAGAGATAAGGGCATGGCTATCTTTCAAAAACTTTCTAGGTGATTCTAATACATGCTTAACTCTATCCAATTCTCTATGGAGGGCACTGTCATATGTCTCTATATTCCAGCATGATATTTGAAAAGGTTTCTCTTGACATCCTACCGCTAAGATAAAGAAGATGGCACAATTAAGTAGAACTGAAATTGATTGTGTCAATATCAACCAAGAAGGAAATTTCAGGTAAATGCACATGGCTCCATTCTGGATCCCATCTTCTGAAATACTTTTTATCAGTGACCAATAATAGTAATACATATTAATAACAACTATAACTTTCATCGAGCACTACAAAAAGCCAAACACTCTTGTAAGCACTTTACAGCAATTAACTCATTTAATCATTGTAACAATATTATAAGGTAGGGACTATTCTTATTCCCATTATGCAAATGGAAATGACTCAAAGAGGTTAAGTAATTTGTCCAAGGTCGGTCATCTAATAAGTAGTGGTTTTGAACTGAGGCAGTCTGGATACAGAGGCCATGATCTTCTCCACTGTGCTATATCAACGATGGAAATAAAAAGGTACATGGGCCAAGTGAGCAGGTCACTATTACATGACATTTTTTAATTGTCTTTATAACACTTAATATTATCTCTCAAGAACATATTCGTTTGTTTACTTATTTATTGCCTAGCCTCCCTCCCCAATCCAACTAGAATATAAGCTAGAAGACGAAAGAAACCTTGTCTGTTTTGTTCACTATTCTATTCCCAGGGACTAGAATAGTGGCTGGCATATTCTTGGTTGAGATTTGTTGAAAATCATCCCACATTTGGGGTTACTGAATTCTAACTGGATTAAATCTGTTTGTCCACACTGCATAAAAATATGGTCCTTACAAATGCTTGTTATGAATATCATTGTCACATTTTGTATTGTGTCTCACACTTTCCAGAGGACTTTATACTCTTGTATTTGATCACAGTGGCCTGGGGGCATTATTCTTTCATCTTAAAGGTAAGGAACCAGGCAAGGTCTTAGTATAGGGTCTGAGACACTGGGTCCATTAAAGAATCAAAGAGATTAAATGACTTGCCTAAAATTAGGTGGCAAATTAGTCCTGGAGCTCAGGCCTTTAGATGTGTGGTTTGAAAATATTTCCACTACCCATCTTCAGCTACAAAGTAAAAGCCAAGTTGGAATTGTGTTATCTCTACAGAAATAGATGAAAGAGATTAAACCCTTTGATTACCATTCGTACTTCAGAAAAATAAAACAATCACATATTTTTATAGCTAGTTAAGAGTACTGTATAATGCTTACAATTTTTGAAATTATCCTCTGTCTTCTTCTTAGACATACTTAAAAAAAATAAAAGAAAGAACACAGCTTTTAGACGCATTTGCTGATATTACCTTTACGGGGTCCCAGTAGCCAAATGCGCTTACATACTTATAGGTATAGCTAAGCATTTTCTGGGCAAGGTGTGATGCTATTGGATAACATTTTTCAAAAATGCTCTCACGATTCTCCACCAGTGGTTTCAGTTTCATATTCATATTATATTGTACAATGTGGATTTTTTGAGCTCCATTAATGAGAATCACTGGGATCAAAAGCTTCTCAAATTCATCCTGATGAAAAAAAATCATAAAACCAAATATTTTTAATGGGATGAAGTCTGGTCACAGCATAGACATTGCTGGTGAGTGACTGCTTCAGTCATGAGAACAAATATTTTTCAGCTTCTGAGTGGCTGCATATTGGCAGCTAAAACTTTTGACTCTATGTGGCTTCCATGTTGCCCTTGATTTATTAATTTGTTTTCATAATTGTAAGTGGTGCTGGCTAAAGGGAAGACAGCCCTAAAGTATGCATTTCTTTTGAAATGTTAAAAAGAAACTAAGACATAAACCAAATTGCATTTGTTCCATTCTCAAATGTTACATTTTGAATTATGAAAAATGAAGGAAAAGTAATAACCTGTATTACTTGTAAATTACTCATATCTGCTTCAAATTTTTCTCCCAGTTCACCTCTCAGGCGCTCAAGTGCATCAATTTCCTGTTCTTCATCTTCCTCACTCATCACTTCCTCATCTTTTGGAAATTCATCTTCAAGGATGTTGTCAATATCATCTTCATCTTCTTCAGGCTCTTCTTCACTGAAGTCTTCACCTTTTTTACCAATCTAAGGAAGAAAATACTCTCTTTTACTACATATCTAAAATATGCAACAAATGACTCTGCTAACTAATCATTTGGAATATTTTATGTAACTGGATATTGGTTGGTATGGCATTGCAACATTCATTTAGTGACATAGTAAAATTTTAGATATCTGGCACTCAGAAATTTAATTCCTTCAAGTCTCTGACACCATACTGATCCCATAATGAATACATAAACAAGATATTAAATGCTATTTATTCTTATGGTTGTGAGAAATTTACATTTGTTTATTTAGAGTTTTAATTTTAATTCCAGTTAATTAATATAGGTTATGTTAGTTTCAGGTGTACAATATAGTGAATCAAAAATCACTATTGGGACGCCTGGGTGGCTGAGTTAAGCGTCTGCCTTCAGCTCACGTCATGATCCCAGGGTTCTGGGATTGAGCCCCACATCAGGCTCCTTACTCTTCCGAAAGCCTGCTTTTCCCTCTGCCTGCTCTGCCTGCCACTCCCCCGATTGTGCTCTCTCTCTCTCTGACAAATAAATAAAATCTTTAAAAAAGAAATCACTATTCATACATCACCTGGTGCTCATCACAACAAGTGCGCTCCTAATCCTCATCATCTAATTAACCCATTCTGCCACCCATCTCCACGCTGGTAACCCTCAGTTTGTTCTCTATGATTAAGGGGAAAAATGAAGGGGGGGAAATTGGAGGGGGAGACGAACCATGAGAGACTATGGACTCTGAGAAACAAACTGAGGGTTCTGGGGGGGCGGGGGGGAGGGGTTAGCCTGGTGATAGGTATTAAAAAGGGCACCTATCGAATGGAGCACTGGGTGTTATACGCAAACAATGAATCATGGAACACTACATCAAAAACTAATGATGTAATGTATGGTGATTAACATAACATAAAAAACAAAAGTCTGTTTCTTCTTCTTCTTCCCCCACCTCCCCAGGTGGTTGATACCTTCATTGCTTTCGAGGTGGGGGGCTCAGGAGTTCTTGGTGGGGCGCCAGCTTCCTCTTCACTATCACAGGCTTCTGGTGCTCAGGATGGCACTGGCTCTGCAAATGGCAGCCATGTGCAGATCCAGGCGGTACTTGGTTCTTGTGGATCATGTGCCTGATGCTGGGGATGGGGGCCCACACATTTTTGTTGATGATGATCCACATGTAGGAGGTGGTGGGTTTTCACTGGCCAGATCTCTGCTTCCTGACCACCACTACACCTTTGTGGTGGGCCGGTGGCTTCACACCCACAGCCCGTGGGTGTGAAGGAGTTATGAGCCTTCAGGTTATTGGGCTGGGCACTGTGTGTCTGCTTGTTCCTCTTGATCAGGAAGCCAGAGCAAGTTCCACAGGACCATCCATTGCAGGTGGGTGGACAGGGAGCCTCTCACTACCGCCATGGAAGTCGGAAAGAGCAAGAGTCTGTTTCTTTATTTGTCTCTTTTTTTTCCTTGCTCATTTGTTTTGTTTCTTGAATTTCACATATGAGTGAAATCATATAGTATTTGTCTTTCTTGACTGACTTATTTCACTTAGCATAATACCCTCTAGCTCCCTCTTCATTAACAATATTTAACTCAAAGAGAATAAATCATTCACTAGCTGTGTTAGCTTGGACAAGATCAGTTTCCTCATCTGTAAAATAGGAATAATAAAAGTACCTATCCCACAGGGATGGTGGGAGCATTAAATTACTTAATACATGCAAAACCTTACTTAGAAAAGTATTGGTCACATGGTAAGCATGAAATGATAGCTATTATTGTTATTATTGTGCCATTATAGCTATTATTTGTTACTTTGTATAAAGCATGCTAACAGAACAGTATATGCCCTTTAGGAGTTTATAGCCCATCTGAAGAAAGAAGAATAATACATAAACGATTATTAAAGACCATGGCAGGATATTGGCACTAAGTGGTGCTGTACAGGCTTTAATATGTATCCCTCCTGCACTGCCTCCACACTCTTCTCCCTGAAGTATTCCTTCTATCAATTCGAGCACTGCCTTCCAGTTGGAAACCTGGAAATTTTCCTAACTCCTTGTTCTCCATAATTGCGCGTCGAGTTTCCAAGGACCGTAATCCTAAACAGTGCCCTAGACTATCTCCTTTCCAGTACCGCCCCACGGTCGCCCTTTCATTATCTCTTGCCTGCAATCTCCTGCTTAGCTCCCTGTTTCCTAATCTTCCTACTGATTAGACCCTGGTTCCTTTCAAGAGCACCTAGAGCTGGGAGTTGATCTTGCATGTGCAAGGAGTAAGATGAGAGGATAAGGTCCCTTCTTGCTCTGTGCCCAGGCTCCTCTCTCCCCAAAAGGAGTTTGCCTGTGGGGCAGTGTTTTTCAGTTCTGGTTCTTTTTTATTTGAATTTTGAAACCATTTGGTTCTCTTACTACTTTTTTCCTTACACTTTGACAAAAAAAAAAAAAAATCCTGAGATTTGATTTTCTAAGGATCATTGGAAGTATGTTGGGATGAGTCCACACTACAAACTAGGGACAGCTCAGTTCTAAATGAATTTGTACTCACCTCTCTTGGCTCTACTTAATAGCTCTTCCAACTTGTTTGTTAATTTAAAAAACTATATCAGTTTAAAAATAGATTCATTTTGTGGTGCCTGGGTGACTCAGCTGGTTGAGCGCCTGACTCTTGATTTCAACTCAGGTCATGACCTCAGGGTCATGGGATTGAGCCCCAAGTCAGGCTCTGCACTCAGCTTGGAATCTGCTGAAGATCCTCTCTCTCTCTCTCCCTGCCCTCTCTCTCTAAAATAAATAAATAAAATCTTTTTAAAAGATGAAAAAAATAAAAACAGATTCATTTTTGCTACAGGATAAAATTATAAAGCATTATATAGGGTAAAATAATTTCCCTATTTCCCATCTCTATTTCCACTTTCCTACCAAGAAATAATTTTGGTTAACAATTTGGTTAAGATCCTTTTAGATGTTTACACCCCACACACCCCCACACACAGAAAATTATATTTTACACATAAATGGGATCATTCTATATTGTACAACTTGCTTTTTAAAAATATAATTAAGCAGTGCTTTTAAATTTCCTTCCATATAAAAACATACATTTCATTATTCTTATTTAGCCATTTTTGCATTAAAAAAATTTTTTTTTGCTTTTTGTTTTTTTTAAGATTTATTTATTTATTTGAGAGGGAGAGAAAGCAAGTGCACGGGGCGGGGGGTGGGGGGGGAAGAGGGAGACCGAGAGAGAAACTCTAAGCAGAGTCTGCGCTGAGCACGTGGAGCCCGATGTGGGGCTTGATCTCAAGGGCCCAAGATTATGACCTGAGCTGATACCATCAGTCAGAGGCTCAACTGACTGCGCCACCCAGGAGCCCTTTTATGGGTTTTTTGGTCATTCTATGGAAATCGGTTTAGGAAATAACAAATTAAACAGTGAAAGGTAGACTCTTCTGACCCTTGTGATAGTTGTTTTCTCTCTCATACTAGTGATGATGAGGAATTTAGCTAACTTATATTTCTCTTTCTTTCTCTTCTGCCTATTCCCCAGTGTTAGTCATATTTTTAATTCTTTAATTCTACAACTGAGTGCCTACAACTTTATTATTCTATTTTTAATTTTTTCTAGATTTTATTTATTTGACAGAGAGAGATAGCACAAGCAGGGGGAGCTGCAGGCAGAGGGAGAGGGAGAAGGAGGCTCCCCACTGACCAAAGGGCTGGATGTGGGCTCCTGGGCTCAACGTGGGGCTCAATCCCAGGACCCTGGGATCATGACCTGAGCAGAAGGCAGACGCTTAACCGACTGAGCCACCAGGCACCCCTGAGTTATCATTTTTAGATGTGTGTTTTGATTCTCCACAATTCAAGAGAATGTCCTTACTCTTTTCACTTGGGTTTCCAAATTTTTGTCTCCAATATTTCTACATTTACATTTGTCTGTAACTGTATTTAAGTATTTAGTGCTTCATGTAGAAATTGATTCTAAGAATTGGAAGCAAACTTTTGATTGACTCTAAAAATTGAAACCCAATAAACAGCACCAGCCATATTTTAATTACATAACCCTTATTCACTACAGCTACAGATAGTGACACTGGGGATACAACCCTGTATCAGCAAATGTGCACCATTCTGAAGTATCAAGGTCAAACATTATATTTTCTTATTACGTAAAATCATGCATTTTAATTTGCCCCATATGTGGATAATGCTTTTTTTTTTTTTTTTATCTCTCCCCTACCCCATATTTCTGGTTTGGTTTTGTTTTTTAGATGGAAGAAGAATTATTCACAAAATCAAGTGGCTACTTTTTTCAGGAAGAAAATATAAAAAGCTAATTTTCAAAGATCTTAAATATCTAAAAGTGTTTCCATTTTATCCTCATACATTATAAATAGTCAAAAATCATTTTCACTCAGAATCTTGAAGGCATTGTCTTTGTCTTCCAACATCTAGTACTGTTGGTGAGAAGTCTGATACAAATCTTATCCACATTTCTTTGTAGGTATCTTTTCTTCATTTTAGAAACACTTAAAATCTCTCTATAATGAGCACTCTCAAATTTCATGAGGATGTATCTAATGTACATCTCTTTTAATTTGTTCTGCTCAGTATTCATTGAGCCCTTTGAATTTGAAGATCCTCTGCTTTCTTCAATACTGGGAACGTTTCTTTCAATATTTTTAAGATTATTTCCTCCTATATTGTCTCTTTCTCTCTCTCTTTTTTTTTTTTTTTGAATGCCTATTGGATGTTGACCCTCCTGGATTGACCCCACATATCTCCATTTTTTTCTTTCATATTTTCTATCTCTTGTGTTTTTGTTCTATATTTGAGAAACTTTTTTGACTTTTCCTTCTAATCTTTTTATTCAACTTTTAACTAATTTACATTATATAGCTTCCATGAACTCTTTTTTGCTCTGATTTTTCATAACGTCCTGTTTTTGTTTTCTGGATAAAAGTTCTTGAATTTTCTGAGGGAGATTGGAATTTTTTTTAATGTTTAGTAAGGT